AAAAAAGTAAATCAGAGCTAAAAAAGTGCAAAAACACAGGCAAATTTGTCTGCGTTGGTCTACATATTAAGGGATAATAAATAGTAGAAAGAATTTGATATGGAACTGTATCTTTTATCATTTTTTTACATCCAACATACCGCGATACTTAAAAGTCATATGTCTAGCATAATTTAGAGTAATATTTTTTATATTATCTTATTTTTTTATTTTTTTTCCCTTTATTATAGGTGATTTCTTTGAACCTGGTATATTTACAAACCATGTTCTAAAAAAAGCTTTAGAAATATGGAAGCAACAATTTGGAGGTGGTCGAATTAGTGCAGATCTTCTAAAAACTCAATTGAATTTGTACAAAAACCAAAAGTATCCCTTTAAAGATAAATTTATTGCATCTGCTAATACAATTACTAATTGGTAGATGTCTAGAAATCTTAAAAGAAATGAAGACCATATTAAAAGTCTTGCTGAAAAAGTGCATTTTATTTCTCCCCATACTGCTGCCTGTTAGCATGTTTTTAGCATACTAGGGTGGTATTTTGGAAAAAGGTAAATTAAGTGAGTTATTTTTCTTTTTATTAAATTATTTATAATTTTTTAGTTGTTATATCAATAAACAAATAAATATTCAAATATTTATTTTTGACCAGATTAGACCTTTGCATTACTTTTGTAGAATGAATTTTAATGCTTATATAATCAATTTTGATTGGCCAATTCTTGTGTAATTGATTTGATATAAAAATCAAAATTTGATTATTCATTTTCACTCAAATACTATTTTTAGACTAAGCATCAAATGCCTGGAGATTATGGCTCAGATGCACTCGTATTTGGTTGAGAACACTAAGTCAGAGCTTAATTATGTGAATTCAAATTTTTCTCAAGAGGATTTCTTATTAATTTTCAACAAAATCACAAGTTTCATGAAAGACAGCACATATTTATTTGGCTAGGAAGAGTCGATTTCTTTTTCAGAAGAACTTGCGAAAGAACTGATAGAAGAAGATATGAAAAGTCTTTCAGATGAACTAGATGATCTAGATCAAGAAAACTCTACAAATTTTAACCATAAATTTACAATCAAAATTAGATATTGATAAGTCTTTAAATGTAAATGAAGAAATTATACATGAGATAAAGATTTTGATATAAATGATTTGCTTTATTGATAGTTTATTAATAAAATACAATTTATATATGATTCAGGAAATTGGGGGGTTTTTTTTAAAAAAAAAATTTCAAGTTATGTGGTTTGTAATAATAATATCCTGATCTATTGGGAATTAGCAGAGATGAAGTTTCTGCTTATTCACATATAGATCAGGATATTATTTATTAATCCCCCATGATCTTAATATAATTGGGAGATCAATATTTTTATTTTATTTTATTTATTTTGCATTAAATATTATCAGATTTCCTTGAAATTATTTTATCGACATAACTTTGGAAATTACGTACATACCTAATACGTGAGAAATATGTTTAATTAAGATTTCTAATAGTTTATTGTAGCTACGGTCTTATAGAATAAGTAAGAGTTTTATAAATTGTGCTACATAATGTGATCTATAAATTGTAAGCATGGCTTATTTGTCGACTAATAGGATAGCTTCTTTTTTTTTTTAAGAGGAAAACAATAGCCTGTAATCATATTCATTTCAGAGGGATAAAATGGGTCTTATGTACATTCCTAGTAAAAGTACTGTCACTATCGTTTCTCTATACCAACTATTGATAAGAATTACACCTCAAGACATCTGTGAGCAAATACTAGTAGGGTGAAAAAGGGAGTTCTGGGACACTTTTTTGGTACCCTGGGTACTAAAGTATTCATTTTGCTTT